ATAGAATTTATTACTAAAATTAGAAGGAGAAGTAAGAAAAAAAAAGCTATTGCCGTTTTAATCAGTTTTTCCACATTAGTAAGATATGTTTGAAATCAAAAAACATTTTGCCCAGCTGAACAAGGTTCTTTGCTTACATACCTTCATTCCCAGCTGTCATCCAGAGAAATCAAGGGAAATTCAGGTTAAGGATGAGTCTGTAGCTACTCTCAACTTTGCCTCCCTGTCTCTTTGTGGTAAAGGACTGTTGCAAGTACTATTCAAGCTCTGGATACATTTCTTTTCCTTTTCCTTTTTCTTTTTCTTCTTCTTTTTCTTCGTCTTTGTCTTCTTCGTCTTCGTCTTCTTTCTTCTTTCTTCTTTTCTTTCTTCTTTCTTCTTTTTTTTAAATTTTTTAAGTGCTTTGCCTTTGAGGGCATGCCTGTGTCACTGGCCTGGTTTGCTGTCTGTTGCAGACTCCAGCAAGAAGGCTGGGATACCTTTCCCTCCCCGGAGCAGGTGGGCAGCAGTGCTCCCATTGGCAGAGTCGCTGGGATACACGCACACCTCCCTGCCATTGGTTCTCAGATACAGTGTGGAACCATCCTCCCTTATTCTATTGAGTTAACTTTGACCAGCTCTCTGATCCCTGGAGAGTAAAGAATAATGTGTGTTTTCAAGTTTCAAGGCACTTTGGTCTGTTATCTTCCTGTGCATGCTGTACTTCTCCCCCAACTTACACACAAACACACATTCAACGTTTGATGTGTGTAGATAGTAGGGCTATTAAACTCATTTCAGCATTTGTGGTCTGCCTACATATTAGGCATTGGGTTTACAATTTGATTTATTAAACAAGTATTTATGCCTTTATATGCTAGGAACTTTTCTAGATATTGGCAATACAGAACTTTTCAGAAGTGACAATCTGACAGGCAAACCATTGCCATACCATGTGTTAACTGCTAAAATAGCAACGGGTAAAATATGCCTTGAAGCCATAGGATATGAGAAGCTCAAGTCTTGGGAAATTAGGAAAGCCTTGGTAATGTCAGTGATGAATACATAGTTTAGTGGAGGAAGCAGCTTGTTTTGACAACACTTTTGAGCAGCCTAACGATGAAGAATAGAGAAAAGAGAGAGATTTTAGTAGGGAGAGGTTGGATCAGGAAGATTGTGTGTCTGTCTGTATGTATTTAAGATTAAGTCAGTGGGAAAAGATTGAAAATGCAGGCTATGTCTTTATTTTGTCCATGGCTAGTTCCTCTTATGGTTGTAAGATGACTGCCACAAGTTCAAGTGTCACAAGTAAATATGACTCAGTTTCTTGGAAGAACACTTTTTTGTCATTATAGATTGAAAAGTAGCTATCTGAGGAGGGTTCAGGATGAAGTCTACAGCTTAGAGATGTTAATTTTGACTCCCAAGTTAACATAAGTAACAAAGAATAGATTTACAAATTGTAGTTTTAGCTAGTGTACTGAGATACCTAGCACTATAGTGGCTATCAGGGGTTTATGGATAAGGTTATTTTTAAATAAAGCATTTCAGTTTAATATCTCTACTAAAATTAAAAAGTTTCAAATTTATGATTAGTGCAGTATTCTAGTTGTTCTACTGTAACTGCTGCCTTATTTAAAATTGTTACTTAATATTTTTTCCTCTTTGTCTTTTTTTTTTTTTTGACTCAAATTTATTATGAGTTGGAGCAAAAAGGTGTTTAAAGAATAGTTGGGAATTTGAAGGGCACTGTTTTGGTGGTTTGTTTGCTTTTTCAGTTACTTTGCATATAATATTTGTCAACTCTTATACCTGCAGGGGGTCATTCTCACCTAGATTCAGTTTTAGGGCTTTCACTTCCTCTGGGCAGTCAGAAATAAATAATGTGGATCACGGTTATACTTTTTACGGTTTGAAAACAAAATGGACATATGAAGAACGTTTAATATTTCATTATGGATGTAGGACATGAACACTTAATATTATGTATTGAAAGTAACATTTAGTGAACCATCTCCAGTCTATCAGTCTTTTAACTTTCCATATGTAGTTGGGTATAACTACAGACTTTGATTTGAGTTCAGCATAGTTTAGTGTCAGATTCTTTTTATTGATGTATGAGATTGTTTATATAATCCAAGAAGTGTTCATCAGAAATTAACTAAATATAAGGCAAAAATTTCTCTTCCTTAAATGCCCCTTCAGTCTGTCTGATGTTCTCATCACATGCAGAGGATGCTTGAGGCATTTCCCTCTATCCTTCGTTTTTACATCATCCTCACCTTTACCCTCACCCCCAACACAACCTGCAATTTAGGTCCTGTAACATGAATTGAAATGTAGTATCTGGACCTAGGGCACAAGACTTTTTAACCTCTAAAGTTAACTGACCCTCTCAGGACTTCAGTTTCCTCATCTGTAGCAGAAGTGGGGGAGTGGGTTGTATTGAACAAATGTGCTCTTATAATTAGAAAAATCTTTAGGTCTGTGAAATTATCAATTATCCTGAACAGACTTGGATAATTTTAATGTTTTCCTTTTATCTCATTGAGATCTTTATTAGGCTAGGTTCAGGAATCTCTGTATTTTGTAGCTTAACTCTGAGTTTGTGGACCCTTTTAAAATGCAGTTTTCTTTTGGTCACTTGCATAAAGATGGCAGTAGTAGCGCTAAAATATTAATGATGTTATGCCAGGCACTGTGCTGTTAAACGCACCAAACCATTTAATCCTTAGAGTAAGTGTTGATGGTGTTATCCTTAAGGGGAACCTGTGAGGTTGGATATCTTACAGAAGACCGCACAGTTGGTAATATCTGCAAAGCCTTCCGTTCTTTCCAGTATCATGCTGCTGGTGTTAAAATAACCTGAAATTGATTTTTTTTGGCATTTCCTAATTCTGTGTATTTGTTTAGCATTTCATCCTTTTTAAAGGGCTTTGTAACACAAGTAGGGCCAGGACTCCCTCCTTAAGTCTCAAGGATGCACATTGCCCTTGTTCATAGAGCTGGACCTGACTCGATGGGTCTTTTCTCCTCATTTTCCTGTAATAGGGTTTTCTTTTTCTACATCAAAGCATATTTTTTAACATTTTTTATTGATTTATAATCATTTTACAATGTTGTGTCAAATTCCAGTGTAGAGCACAATTTTTCAGTTATACATGAGCATATATATATTCATTGTCACATTTTTTTCTCTGTGAGCTACCATAAGATCTTGTGTATATTTCCCTGTGCTTTACAGTATAATCTTGTTTATCTGTTCTACAGTTTTAAAATCCCGTCTATCCCTTCCCACCCTCCACCTCCTTGGCAACCACAAGTTTGTATTCTATGTCTGTGAGTCTATTTCTGTTTTGTATTTATGCTTTATTTTTGTTTGTTTTTGTTTTTGTTTTTTAGATTCCACATATGAGCGATCTCATATGGTATTTTTCTTTCTCTTTCTGGCTTATTTCACTTAGAATGACATTCTCCAGGAGCATCCATATTGCTGCAAATGGCATTATGTTGTTGGTATTTATGGCTGAATAGTATTTAAAGCATTTTTTTATTTTAAATTTCTGTAAAGTTTAATTTATTCTTTTGTGACCACTGTGAAGATATCAGTGGAAGCTACTGTGTTTTAGAGTTGCCCATGAATTTTCCAGGTAGTGAAACCAATCCACTGATGACTGGAGAAAATACCTATTATAAAGGAGGAAAAAAGTAGTTGATATTCCTTGGGAACCTTCAAGACAACCCAAATAAATGTGAACTATATATATATATATTTTTTTTTGATTTATGGCTTGTTGTCTGAGCATTCTTCTGATTATAAAGTGACATGGGTTTATGGTTAAGAATTTGAATGCAGAAACAAATCAAAATTACTTAGATGTAACCATTGTTAGTATTTTGATATATATCCTAACTAGAGGTGGGGGAACCAAGGTTTCTGGACATGTTAAATGTGAGATGCCTGTTAGACGTACAGGTAGTAATTTGAGTATGCGGTTGGACACAGGAGTACGAAGTTCAGAAGAGTGGTCGATATTATACAGATATAAATAAGACAGTGTACAGCAAGTCCACGAGTGATTGTGTCCTCCTCGTGGGTGTGGATGAGTTCACATTGGGAGTGCGTGCAAAGAGGAGGGAAGATCTGAACACCAGGCCCTGGCTCTCCAGCATTTAGACGTTTGGAGGAGACGAAAGATCCACCTCATCGACACGTGGCTGCTGAGGACGTGGTGAATCAGAAGATTGTGGTATCCAGGAAACCTAGTGAAGAAAGGATTTCAGAGAGGGTGTGATCACCTGTTGAGTGTTACTGAAGCTTTGCCATTTGGCAGTGTGGAGGCCACTGACCTCATTAAGTGACTTCCATCCATGGAGGGGAAAGGGCCTGCGTTTAGTGGGCTTAGGTGAAATTAGGAAGAGAGGAAAGTGGAGAGCTGTGAATATAAATGGCTCTTTTGAGGAGTTCTCATATAAAGTGGAGCAGGAAATTCTACTGTAGATTGAAGGGTATGGGGAAGGGTAAGGAAATTTTATTTTAAGAGAAGAGCCATTACAGTATTTTTGTACAATAATGGGAACGTTGTCTGTTCCTTTTTTTTTTTTCATATTTTCCTTGGTGAGATTTTGCAGGAGTTTGTCAGTTTTATTGGCCTTCTCAAAGAATCAGCTCATGGTTTAATTCATCAGTTCTATCAGAAGCTAATGCAAAATTTTATTATGTGAGTGGTTTTCTTGGTGGAACTACAGTAGATTTCATCAGATTCTGGAAGTTGGAGAGCCAGTGCCCTAGTTTGGCAGTTCAATTTGTTTCTTTAGAAGATACACTTACATTTTTAAAGAATCTATTTGAGTTAATACCTCTGTCAGTATAGGAGGGAGGGTATAACTCAGAGGTAGAGTATGCTTAGCATGCATGAGCTCCTGGGTTCAATCCCCAGTACTTCCATTAAAAAAGTAATAATAATAATAATAAATAAATAAACCTAATTACCATGCCAAATGAAGCAAACAAAAATGAAATAAGAAGTAAATACATAAAAATTAAAAATTGATATGTCTTTGTCAATATAAACTGTTAAATAGTATGAATAACGTTGTTCCTAAACAAGAAATCTTACTATATTTTTCTATCCTTTCTATCTCATAGTTTTGTCAAAATAATCTAAGAGTTTAAAGATTGATTTTTCTATCAATTTTTTTCCATTTGAAGAATCTTTTAAAAGTTTCATTAAGACTCATAGCCAAGTTATCAACAGTTTAGACTTAACCGAGTTTTACTATTTTTTTGTTTAGTACCTATTTAAACATCTTTAAAGTTTGTTTTGACCAAGTATTACATGTTCTTGGCTTAAAAAATAGATTTATCATAACACAACCTCATCTGTTGCACCCCACCCAACCCCTAATACTACTTCAGATATATTTATCTTTACCCAGTTCTGTTATTTAATTTTTCTAGTGGTTTCTTCTGTGTCTCTAAGATGTTTATTCCTCAGTTTATTTATGAACCTAAGGTGTTATCTGTTTCCATAGCTATTGATTTTGTTTACTTCTACCATCTCCTTACCTGTATTTATAATCATTCC